GATACGGGCTTTAGGGTTTAGAGTTCAGGTTTATATCTTAATCGGCTTTAGGGTTTTTGGGGGTGCTGCTTCGGCGATGCTGACGACGACGACGGTAATAGTCTAGGGGCCTTGATAATTAGAATAATAGGGTTTTGGGGGGTGCTTTATGATGACTGTAGTATAGTATACCCCAGAACTCTAGTCTAATTATTAAGGCCCCCATATTAATCATGAGCATGTTCATTCATGTTCATGCTTACGCTGAAGCTGGTAGTGGCGAGGACGTTGGTGATGATGAGGACAGGACGAGGAGAATGATGACAATGAGGGACAGGACGATAATGAGGCGGAGGAGGAGCAGGAGGCAAAGCAGAGGGAGCATGGGAATCACGGAGGAGGACGAGGAGAGCGACAGCCTTACCTACGCTAATGGGAAGTCTGGTGAAGCCAGCCTCAAGTATCAGTATTGGCAATTGCTATACACGCACATAATCAACAACTAGTAACCCTAATCCCCTAAACCCTAAACCCTAAACCCTAAACCCTAAACCCTAAACCCCCAACCCCTAAACCCTAAACATAATCAGCCCCAAACCCACACCCATGCACAGCCAGCCGGCAGAAGCAGTCCTGTCGAGTCCTTAGCACTGGTCCAATATCGCTTTGGAGTCGAGGGTTCGGATACTCACGCCGCTTCAAAAGGGTCTAGGTCGCCGACTTCGAAGTTGAACATGTAGAAAAAATATGGCAACTGAAAGGGAAGCCGGAAAGAAGTGAAGCGTAACAGGATCTAGCCTAGAGCTGACATGCAGTATATGGTCCTTACTAGTCGGAGTGAATATATGCTTCTGTGGCAGTTTAAGTTGTGTTGAGGGCTGAGGGTGTAGAGTGTCGGGTTTAGGGCTCGTTGTTCGTTAAGCCCTGGATGCCCTGAACCCCAAAACTACTACCTAAACCCTAAACCCTAAACCTTGTTCCAGGACTTGTATAAGAACATCGCAACAAGGAGCCTTCAGAAACGCAGGCTTTCAAGGGCCAAGCCTTAAGCCCGAACCCTAGGCCCCAAAACCTAAACCCTTAAAGCCTTAAAGCCGTAGAGCCGTAAAGTCCAAACAGCACAGAGAGAAACAGACCTGACCTGAAATTTCGGACAGTTGGGGCGAAACAAGCTTAAGGGTACCATTAGGGTTCGGGGGCTTGGGGTTTGGGGCCGTATCACCAGTATCCTGCTGGTTAGTGTCCACACTAGGGTCTTTCGATTTCTTACACTCTCAAACCCTAAACCCTCAAACTTTCGCCGCAGACTCGCCGTATTCTAAAAGCCTCCAACCCTAACCCGAAGGCGCAATTCAGATCCCCAAATCCCGGATCCTAACTTCATAACCCTGAAACCCGATACCCTACACCCTAAACCCGAAACCCTAAACCCTAAACCTGAAACCCTAAACCCTAAACCCGACACCCTAAACCCTAAACCCGACACCCTAAACCCGAAACCCTTGTAAAAGGACCTTCGTAACTTGAGTAGGCTAGTAGGCACATCTTGGAGGCAACAGCCCGCCATAAATGAGGAAAAAGACAGGAAAGCATAGAATTCGTGGAAAGCCTACCTTAAGCCACATCGATTCGGCTCTTCAAGCTCAGGGTTTTAGAGATGCTCTGGCTCAGGGGTTCCAAGGTTTAGGGTTTAGGGATTTAGGGTTTAGGGTTTAGGGTTTAGGGTTTAGGGTTTAGGGTTTAGGGTTTAGGGTTAGGGTCTAGGGATTTAGGGCTTACAGTAAGGAATCTGACTATAAGGAAGCATGTGGTGCACCTCGATCTCTACTACGGTAACTTAAACTAAGTTGCTTGACAAGAACCCAGTTCTAGGCAGGCCCTTGAAAGCCCTTGAAACATATTCGCAGATTTAGGGTTTAGGGTTTAGGGCTTAGGGTTAGATAAGATCCTCTTGAGCCCAATAGGGGAAAAGATGTCCCAGGCCAAAGGCCTATCTCGAGCTTTTGGGTTTTTGGGGGAAAGAGCCTGGGTCTCCAAAGCTGGAACTTACTTCCCCCTGTAAGCCAGGGAAATAAAAAGTTACACATTCAGATCGCTACAAAATTATAAGAACCCAAAAAACCTAGGGTTTTAGGGTTTAGGGTTTAGGGTTTAGGGGGCTACTAAATTATAAGAACCCAAAAAGTTTAAAGGTTGGGTATTCGGGAACTAAGGGAACATCCTGATCGAACTCCGACAGCTGAGGGGAGCGCGTCGAGGGGTCTGCATCCTAGCGCCGAAGCCAGAGGCTTCTCAGAATGGTTTAGGGTTTAGGGCTTAGGGTTTAGGGTTTAGGGCTTAGGGTTTGGGTTTTGGGTTTTGGGTTAAGGGTTTAGGGCTTCGGCTTTAGGGTTTAGGGTTTAGGGTTTAAGGTTTCGGGTTTCGGGCTTAGGGTTTACGGTGTAAGGTTTAGGGTTTAGGGTCTAGGGTTTAGGGCTTAGGGCTTTGGGTTTAGGGTTTGGGGAAGTTTAGGGCTTAGTGTTTACGGTTTAGGGTTTAGGGCTAAGGAACCAAATTTAAGTTACCAAAATGAGGCAATCCTAATATTTACTATAGATCCCGAGTGATTGTAGCTTGGATACTATAGATCCTCATTTTGCTCACTTAAATTGCAACCCCTTACACCCCAAACCCTAAACCCCAAATCCCTTTGCAAGAACCCAGCTTCAGACTTCCTCTCAACCCAGTGAGATCCGTCTGCGAAACTCGCTAGGTGATCTAGGGTTTAGGGTTCAGGGTTTAGGGTTTAGGATCTAGGCTTTAGGGTTTAGGGCTTATGGTTCAGGGTTAAGGTTTAGGATGTAGGGGTTACGGTCTAGGGTTCAATTTTGGGGCTTAGGGCAACTGTTCTGAACCCGAATAGAGGGAGCCTGAATGATTAGACAAAGGCTTTACTTGGAGGCCCAGGGGACTTAGTAAGTCGGTTATAAGCAGGGTGATAATTGTGTTAACTCCAGTTAGGGCACTTATAGCCCTACTTATAACCTACTTACTAAGTCCCCCGAGCCTCCAAGTAAGGTACCTCGCAGCCCTCACCCCAAAAGCACCGGACTTATTCAGGCGTCCATACTGCAGTCTTTTCATTTCGAGCCTTCAATTTCTAAGACCCTTCGGCACCCTAAACGACAAACATTGAAACCTCACAGAAAGTCAAGAACACCTCAAAACCTTCCTGAATACATCCTACGAGGCCCCCTTTGAACTCCTCTTGGAACCTCAGTTAGCAGGTACAACCATTGTTGAATACTACTTGGAGGTTCATGGGTAGTTATAAGTAGGGTTATAAGTAGGATAACTATACTTATAACCCATATGAGGGGACTTCTAACCCTACTTATAATTATAACTACCCATGAAGCTCCAAGTAAAACCCGCAAAGGATAAACCCTCTGGGTAGCCTTACAGAACTGCATCAAAGACCTTCAAAGAGGTTTTACACACTCTACACCCCTACAGAAAACAACAAAACGCATCTGCTTGAAACACCACAAGCACTCCTTCGCGAGTTCCTCCCGTAGCTGCTCGGGCCTTACGACTTGGCTGGAGGCGGGTTGACTTCAAGAAACTCAAGGTTAACTTCCCACGGTGCTATCAATATGATTAATGATGTTGTTATCATTATTGTTACCATTGCAGCTACCATGTCTTTAATTGCTGTCACAGTTTTAATACTGTGGTTGCGCTTGTTATGATGATTAACATTAAACCTTAAACCTTAAACCCTAAACCCTAAAGCCCTAAACCCTAAACCCTAAACCCTACACCCTAAACCCAAACCCCTGAACCCTAAACCCTAAACCCTCAACCCTTGAACCCTAAACCCCTAAACCCTAAACCCTAAACCCTCTTATTATTCTGCTTTTTGGAGTTGGGCCCTTCAGGCTCAGGGAAGATTCTCCGGGTTCTGTGCGGGTCGGTTCCGTTTACTTGGAGGGTCGGGGGACTTAGTAAGTAGTTATTTTATAGAGTTATAAGTATCATAACCCCAATTAGGATCCCTTTTAGGGCACTTATAAGTCTACTTATTACCCACTTACTAAGTCCCCCGACCCGCCAAGTAGGGTTTCGGGGTGACGGACCCAAATCGGACTTCAAGGGTTTAGGATTTTAAGGGTTTAGGAGTTTAGGATTTTAGGGATTTAGGGCTTAGGGCTTTAGGGGTTTAGGGGTTTAGGGTTTAGGACTTTAGGGGCTTAGGGGTTTAGGGTTGAGGGTTGAGGGCTTTAGCTTAGGGGTTGAGGGTTGAGGGTTTAGGTTTTGGGGCTCTGAGGTGCTTCAGCTCTGTTGAGTTTAGGGATCTTGGGCTTGAAGTTGTCAGGGCATTCCGTTAATTCGGTCTCTTCCGGGGTCCTCTCGTAAGAGTACTCTTTCGGCGGAGCGTTCCTGCGTAATAGTACTCCTTCCTAAACCCTAAACCCTAAACTCTAAACCCTACATGTTCTGTTTTGGTGGAGTTCGTCTGTCTTCACCAGAAGATACGGGATTTTAGTAAGTAGGGGATCGCAGATTGAAGTTGTGTGTTGGCTTGCGCTCTCGAAACCTTTGGTGTTTGGGGTTTAGGGTCGGGATCAGCATGTATTGATTTCTAAATTCCTAAACCCTAAACCCTAAACCCTAAACCCTAAACCTTAAACCCTAAACCCTAAACCGTCTGGGTTCCTTGAGCATGCTTGGCCCATTGCTTGAAATCTGGATGGCTGCTCTGCACCTGTAAGGCTGGGGTACTCCAAAAAGTCCATGGTCATTTTTAGAAACGCATTTGGGGGTCTCCGAAAATAGGGGACCCTAATATAGTACCCCAAATAATAGGATCCTTATCATAAGGACCCCCAAATAAGGTACCCCCTATTTTCGGAAACCCCCATTTAGGTTCGTGCATGTAGGACCCAATTGCAGGCTAGCTGGGTTTTGCAACCAAAGTTCGACTCAGAGCCAAGTTGCTTTCTCTCTTTTCCCCATGCCGCTCTGCTTCAGCAATGCCATCACGCATGCACTGCATAAAGCTGTGCGGCACCATCCTTCAAACCGACCAGCATGCTCTGCATGCTCTCCCCACAGCTGTGGAGGCTCAGGCTCAGGGCAGCCGCATCCAAAGTCGCAGCAGATTCGGGCGCAGGGGCGGCAGCGCGCCGGTCCAGAGCCATGAGCTGCCGTCCAAATGCAACGATACGGAGGTCCTCGGTGATCGAGGCACTGGCGTAGGCCTGCCCGAGGCCCGCGATGTGCCCCACGGCTTGCCCGGTTCGGCCGTCCACCCAACCTTAGATGTGGAGTAAGGGATTTAGGGTTTAGGGTTTCGGCTTTAGGATGCCCAGAGACTCAGAGAGCCACCCCTTAATTAAGGAATATACCTTAAATCATAATAGCAAGCCCCTTGTAGTTTAAGGTGTATTGCTTGATTGAGGGGTATTGGGCAATCTGGAAGTATTTTAGTTTGCAACAACAACATCAGCACAGTCAGCGGGCATCTTCCCGGATGTCCGATGGAGGGACTGTAACTCCCTTGCAAACTCGCAACCCCAAGCTCTCGCGTCTGAGCCCACAACTTACAGCTTAACTCACTACCCGCGCCACACTTCTGAAACGAAACTCTAACGCCTCACGAAAAATGACCAAAGCCCAAAACCCCCTGTCCCTACCAACAACTTGAGATATGAGGACCCTGATTCAACTCCCCTTCTCAAGTGTCTCTGAAACAGGGGTCTCCATCAAGCACCCAGAGAACCCAATACCGGAATATACCTTAAATTATAGGGGCCTTCATACTACGGTTTAAGAAAGGTATATTCCTTTACAAAAGGGGTATTGGGTTCTCTGGGCAGGTCCTTACGTCCCAAAGCACTGAGCCGAAGGTTCGGACTTCGATGTTGAAGGCAAACTTGAAGGCACATGGGCCCAGAGAGCCCAATACCCTTTAATTCAGGATTTAGGGTTTAGGGTTTAGGAGTTTGGGTTTAGGGTTTAGGGGTTTAGGGTTCAGGGGTTTAGGGTTTAGGGTTTAGGGTTCTTAAATCATGTTGGGCGTCACAGCAGGAGTCAAGCTATATTCTTTAACTAAGGGGTATTGGGCTCTCTGGGGACTTGGCAAGTAAGGTTAGAAGTGAGGTTATTATTAGGATACCCCTACTCAGGGCACCCCAATCATAGCCATACTTACACGCCTAAACCCTAAACCCTAAACCCTCAAAACCTAAACCCTTTTGAGGTACTAATTAAGTCCCTTGAGCGCTTAAGGATGCCCTGCACCCTTCAGCAAGTTCGTCAGCATTGCTGCTGGTGTCAGTTTAGGGTCTAGGGTTTAGGGCTTAAAGGGTGTAAGGTTTAGGGCGCGGGATGTAAGGTTTCATGTGCAGGATTTAAGGTTGAGGGTTTAGGGCCTGTAATCATAGTCATACAAGACTAGGAAGAGCAGGAGGAGCAAGGAAGTACTTACTTGTGTGCTTCCTCCACCTGCAGCTCAGCCAAAAAGACAGCTAGTAGCAGTAGTCGTGGTCGCGGGGGGTGTTGTCGTGAACGTTTCTACCTTGTTGCTGCACCGTCGGCGCTGCCGCCGTTGTTGATGACGACAGTACCTGTTGCTGCAGTGGCAGCAGCAAGTGTCTGTCGTCGTTGCCGGTGCAGTTGCTGCTAAGTCCCAAACCCTGATCCCAAGCCCGAGCCCCACCAATCCCTGAGCTAACCCCTGCAAGAACCCCGATAAAACCCTAAACCCTAAAGCCTAAACCCTAAAAACCTAAACCCTGAAGCCTAAACCTTAAAACCCTAAACCCTAAAGCCTAAACCTTAAAACTCTAAACCCTAAGGCCTAAACCCTAAAACCATAAACCCTGAAGCCTAAACCCTAAAACCCTAAACCTTAAAGCCTGAACCCTAAAACCCTAAACCCGAAGGGCTAAACCCTAAAACCATAAACCCTGAAGCCTAAACCCTAAAAACCCTAAACCATAAAGCTTAAACCCTAAAACCCTAAAGCCTAAAGCCTGGCACCCTTAGAGGAAGCCTGTAAAACGACCCCTTAGCCCCAAACCTCACACCCGCCGCCCAAATCCCAGAGCGAGATGCAGAGCCCCTCGGAGTGGCCCACCACCAGACAACCTGGGTTTAGGGTTTAGGGTTTAGGGGTTTAGGGTTTAGGGTTTAGGGGCTTAGGGCTTTAGGGTTTAGGGGTTATTTAGGGTTTAGGGTTTCGGATTTTTTTTAGGGTGGTTTTAGGGTTAAGGGTTTTGGGGTTTAGGGTTTTAGGGTCTAGGGGTTTAGGGTTTAGCGGTTCCGGGTTTAGGGGTTTAGGGGTTTAGGGTTTAGGGGTTCCGGGTTTAGGGGTTTAGGGCTTTAGGGGTTTAGGGTTTAGGGTTTAGGGTTTAGGGATGGGTTAGGGGTTTAGAGATAAGGTTTGGGGTTTAGGGGTTTAGGGGTTTAGGGCTTAGAGTTTAGGGCTTAGGGTTCATGTCAAAGAGTAAAGAGTAAGAGCTCGTTTCAAGCCACCAAGGCAAAGAGATTTTTTCGTTGGTTCTCTAACGAAATTATGGTAGCAAACCACACTGTACGCTTTAAAGCTCTGTCAGGTAGGAAGACCCTGTGATTCCAATACCAAGCCCCACATCATGTTACATGAACCCCTTACACCATAAACCCTACTACACCCTAAACCGCAAACCCGAAGTTCGTGATAAAGAGGAACCCCCTAAACCCTAAACCCTAAACTCTAAATCCTAAACCCCTACTTGGAGGCCCAGGGGACTTAGTAAGTCGGTTTTCAGTGGGGCTGTAATTGGGTTAACTCCAGTTAGGGCTTCTATAACCCTACTTATAACCTACTTACTAAGTCGTCCGGGCCTCCAAGTAAACCTGAACCCTAAACCCTAAACGCTCAACCCCTAAACCCTCAACCCTAAACCCTCAACCCCTGAAACCCAAAGCCCTAAACCCTAACCCCTAAACCCTAAACCCTAAACCCTAAAGCCTAAACCCTCAACCCCTAAACCCCAAACCCCAAACCCTGAGCCCGGCCGCCCGAGGCGGAGCAGCGCGTGAGGTGTCGGATCCAGGTGCCGGGGCACACGGAGCAGGTCCAGAGAGCTCGCGCCTGGGAGGAGGGGTTTAGGGTTTAGGAGTTTACGGTTTAGGGTTTAGGGTGTCGGGTTTAGAGTTTAGGGTTTAGGGTTTAGGAGTTTAGGGTTTAGAAGTTTAGGGCTTAGGGTTTAGGGTTTAGGGTGAGCCTGGGAGGACGGGTTTAGGAGTTTAAGCTTACGTGCAGGGTCGGTGTACTTAGTAAGTGGTAAGTAAGTAGACTTATAAGTATTCTAGTAGGGATCCTAATTGAGGTTATGATACCCCGACCCTCCAATCCCATCCTAAATCCTATCCTAAGCCCTAAACCCAACACCCTAAATCCTAAACTTTTCTAAATCTCTTACAGAAGCCTTTAAGAGCATTTAATCGCACCTCTCTAGAGCTCTTACAGAAGCCTTGAAGGGCATTTAATCGGCTGGTCGGAAAGTTTGCAATGTCAGAGTTCGAATGCAAAGAACCCAGAAAGTTGAAGCTGCAGGCCCCAAAAAAATCCTGAAGACCAGACGGTTTAGGGCTTTAGGGCTTTAGGGCGGTTTAAGGTCTAAGGTTTAGGGTTTAGGGTTTAGGGTATAGGGCTGACGCTTTAGAGTTTGCCTTCGAAACCCACAGCCCTGAAACCCTAACCTTCCCTAAACCCTAAACCCTAAACCCTAAACCCTAAACTTCAGACCCGAGGCACCGGGGAGTTGAGATCCCAGGCCTTCACAGTCCCGGCGGTGCCACCACTGCAAAGGCGGCCCTCCTCTTGCCAGCTGAGTGCCATCACCTGCTTGGAGGCTCTCTGGACTCTCTAAACCCTCTAGGGTTTAGGGTTTAGGGTGTGGGGTTTGGGGTTTAGGGTTTAGGGTTTAGGGTTTAGGCTCTACTTGGAGGCCCTCTGGACTTAGTAAGTCGGTTATAAGTAGAGTTATAATTGGGGAAACTCCAGTTCAGGTACTTATGACTCTACTTAGAACCTACTTACTAAGTCCCCTGGGCCTCCAAGTATGGCGGGTTTAAGATTTGAGGTTTAGGGTGTTGGGCTTAGGCCCTAAACCCTTCAACATTGAGGATTTAAGGGCTTGGGCGTTTAGAGCTTCAGCGTGTCAGGCTTGTGGGCGTAAACGGATCTAGAGTTTCAGGAGTGTGGGATTTGGTGTTTCTGGGTTGGCTTGTGAGGTTAAGGATTAAGGGTTTCGGGCTTCAGATTGATGATTACAGTAAACCCTAGACCCTAAACCCTAAACCCTAAACCCTAAAACCTTAAACATGAAACACGGACCCGCCTCCTGCATGTTGTGCGGATTGGAAGCAGAAAATGCCGGCGGCCCCTCCTGCAGACCTCGTCTTCGTTGATTTCAACAGCCCGAAACCACACATGGGTTTAGGGTTCAGGGTTTAGGGTTTAGGGTTTAGGGTTTAGGGGAATTCGCCTCGGCCCCGGCCAAAGCGGTCAGAGGTTCCTCTTCGGATTCCCTCCATTCCCCACCTCTTAATCCCCTCTCCAGTGACCCCCCCGTCTGTGCGAACCCATAAATGAGCTGCAAGGTCCAATGGATTTGGGCTCTCTGTAGGGGTCCCACCCACCGCCAGCCTTCCTCGCCCCACCCCCCTCCTCCCCCCTGTTCCCTCCCCATTTGGTCTGCTTTGCATGCAATATCCCCCCCTTCCCGGCCCTCTTTGTTTGCGGCCGGGCGGAGGCGTACGACGCGAAGCGCTTAAAATTAGGCTCCCTTTTTAAGGTCCCCAATATAGTACGGCACCCCTATGAAAAGCACTCCAAAAGAGACCCTAATTTAGGGAACTACCCGACATCCTAAAACAGAAAGCCTCCAAACCCAATCCTGAACACGTCCAACACCTCGAGATGCAGCTGAATCGAGCTTTAGACAGGTTGTAGATGGAAGGGTGTAAAGTCACGGCCAAGGCGTGCAACGTTGTACAACAGGAGCGTACTATCAACTTGCATGCGCTGGTTCGCGCGCTGGCGCAGGCAGGGACATGCTCACCAGCACGCGGTTGATATGCCACATCGACCGATAATCATAAACCCTGAACCTAAACCCTAAACCCAAACTTGGCTTCAAAAAGAACCTGCTTCGAGGCACTTAGCATACTTTGAGGGTAGAGAACTGTTTAGGGTTTAGGGCGCAGGCTGGGTCATTCTTTTTCCATACACGGTGCCGACCCACAGAAATGCAACGCCTGCAAACATACCCAGAGAGCCCAATACCCCTTAATTAAGCAATATACCTTAAACTATAAGGGGCTGATTATTATGCTTTAAGGTTTATTGCTTAATTCAGGGGTATTGGGCTCTCTGGGTACTGGCTCCTGAGTCTGATTTGCAGGATCTAGGCTCCTCGGTCTTCATGAGTCCGCAAAAAAACCCCCAAGTTTTGACTCTTGTCCGAAACCCTAACCCCAAAACCCTAAAACAAAAAAAGGGAACAACCTAAGCCTAAAACCCTAAACCTTAAACCCTAAACCCTAAACCCTAAACCTTAAACCCTAAACCTTCAACCCTAAACCCCAAACCCTCGGCCCTGAAGCCTACAACCCGCCCAAACCCCGAACTGACCTCCATCCGGGCGAACTCGAGACACCGCCAAGGTATCCTTTCAAGCTTTGCTTCGGGCTTAGGGTTTTTAGGGTTTTGGGTTTAAGGTTTAGGGTTTAGGGTTTAGGGCTTAAGTTTAAGGCTTAGGGTATAGGGTTTAGGCTTA